AGGGGACGTCCAAGCAGCAGGGACATCAGAAGCAAAGATAATTCCCTGGTTCAGTGGAGGAACCGCAAGTGTACCAGCACACAGAGGGCACTGAGTGAGCGGGAAAATAGTAATTCATTTTTGCTTGTTTTTCTTTTGAGACACTGGAGATTAAACCCAGGGCCACCTCATACATGCTGCCAAGTAGTCTACCACTGAGCTACATTCTCTGCACTTTAAGATTCTTTTTGAAGTTTTGAGAGTGGGTCTTGCTTAGCTGTCCAAGATGGAATTGAATCTGCAGTCCTCCAATTTTAGCCTCCCAAGTAGCTGGGATTGTAGGTATGCATTGTCAGGCTCCACTTAGAATAATAATTCTTAAGAAAGAGATGGGTGGGCTCGGAAGTGTCTTGCCTATAAGGAACAAGCACAAGTCTTTTAGCAAGTGAAAGTTTAAACTGACTTAACTTTTAAAAGAATCCCACTGGCTACAGAATAGAGAATCTCTGAGCCAACTTTTTCATCTCCAGCCCTTTGCTATCTTAAATTATTGAAGACTTCAAAGGCTTTTATGTAGGTCATGTCTATAGATTTTTACCATCTTGAAAATGTAAAATAGTAAATGTTTATTTGAAATAACAATAGTGAAGGTGCTATATGTTAATGCAAATAATATTTTATGAAAATGACTTTCTCAAAACAAGTAAGAGGAATGAGAAGGTGGCAGTGTTCTGCATTTGCCAATCTCTTTCATGTCTGGCATTCTGTCTATTCACTATCACATACTGTGTAGCCTCCGGAAAACTCACTATGCACTAACCAAAAAATGAATTGAAAAGGCAAATGATGTTTAGTATTTTATGAAAGTCATTTTGATCATGCTTACAGAGACCATTTAGGAACATGGTCCAGTAAACCAGGTGTTATGGTTGATGCATTGTGTCAGCTTGAGTAGTTTAGAAGTGTAAGAGACTCAGCAGGAAGCCAGGATCCTTACTTTGTAAATATCCTCAACCTGTACAAGAGGAAGGTACAGAGGTAGTGTGAGTGCTGCACTCGCTCTGGGGGTTGGGGGTGGGTAGCCTGCCTACAGTATAAAGGAAGAAAAGAAGCTTGTTCTCCCTGCTTTCACTCCGGCTGCTTTTGCTGGCTGCTGCCTTCAAGTGTTGCCCCAGTGTCATGTCCCCCCACCCCGGCCTTGGAGCCAACGAATTATGGACTGAACCTCCACAAACAGCTAAATAAACCCTTCCTTCCTTAATTTTGGGTGTCAGGTATTTTGTCACAGCGATGAGAGAAAAGTAACCGAGACGCCAGGTAACACAGCTGGAGTGGAGTAGGAGAAGTAGTAAGAATTGGCACACTTCTTGGTGTATTTCACAGGTTGAATCAATAAGTTTTGCTGGCAGAATAGGTATGGATATGAAAGATAGAAGACAAAAGTGACTCCAAGATTTTGACCCAGAGGAGCTGCACAGAAATGTAGAAGATTGTACAAATGAGATTAAATGAATAATTGTTTTGGACATGTTAATTTTTAGATATCTATTAAAACATCCAGCTGAAAATTTCAAATCAAAAGCTGGATGTTTAAATCTGGAATGCAGGGGAGGGACTTTTTATTGTCTTCATTTTTCAGTGCTTTTAAAGGAAAGAAAGCATAAAAGTTACCTGTTCCTGCAGTAGCTGAAATAGAGCATTTGTTCTACTCTCAAATTTGAAAGCTAGTTTGGCCAGATACTGAGCTCCAAACAGGCAGCTGCTTTCACTAGAAGTTTCCTAGCGTTCAGTATTGTTGCTGAGAAGTTTAGTGCTGATCTGGTTTTCATTTCTTTCTGTGTGCCCTCTTATCCTCTCCATCTCTTCTGCGGGAGGGGCTTGGGGTCTTTCCTTCATCCTTAGTGTTCTGAAACTTCACAGTGGTAAAGGTCTTCATAATTCATCCCCTGGACACTTTAGTCACACTGTGGGATGAAGTCCCTTAGTTTAAGAAAATTTTCTCGTACTCTTTCCTTGATAATTTCTCCATTCATTTTCTCCTTTTAAAAATTTCTGTTTTTGAAACACTGGATTTGAATTCTGTATTTCTATTTTTTTCTCCAGCTCCTTTTTATTCTACCTGAACATTAGTTTTGTCAACATTAATCTCTAACCCTAAGCTTTTGTGAAATTTTTTTATAAATACATCATCTACTAATTCTGAGACTATTAATTAGAATTTGGAGGTTCTAAAACTCCTGCACTTTGCTTTTGTATTTTCCCCTGCTTTTGTTTTGTTGTTGGTGGTGGTGGTTTTCTTTTCTTGCTTCTTTGTGTACTTTTTTTTGTATCTGTCTTTCAGATTGGAGGCATTGCCACATGGCTAGTGATCTATAATTATTTTTTATAGGTGTTACTGTATTTTAGAAAATGATAACAGAATATTACCAGTTCTGAAATGTTTTAATGATGAGAAATATACTGACTCACGATCTGGAAGTTGGAAAGTCCAGGATAAGTCATTGGCACCTGGCCAGCCTTATTGTTCCATCATCCTAAGGTGGAAGGAATCAGATGACAGATGAGCTAAGAGGAAGAGAAGAGGGAGGGGAGAGTGACCGAGTACACTCAAAAGGCAGTAGATGATGGCATTAATTCATTCATGAGACGAACTTAAAAGTTCCATCTTTTTGGTGATGGTTTTGTGTGTGTGTGTAACACAATTCCACTGAAGGGCTTCACAATGGGGCAGTCAGGTCATAAGCAACCTTTTGGTTTTTGGACTTCCACTTTGATGTCATTGCTACAGGAATATGACTTACTGCCTTCTGAAATCCACCTGAGTCATCTTTATCTATCTTTGTGCACCCAAAAGCGTGTGTGTGAGAATCCCAAATCTTCGAGTAAAGTCTGTGTGCCAGGAAAGTATGCCTTATGCATCCAGGGGCTTCCTGCCTACCCTTTCCTGCCCTTGAAGACACCTGACTTCCCCACACCTGACTCAGGGAGAAGCTCTGCCCATGGGAATAAAGAGTTAGATTGTGTGTAAATATATATATTTGTCAGTATATTGATTGGGCATTTATGTATGTTGCTCTATTTTGTAAATGTAAAAGCATCAGGACAATAGGACTCACCTAATTTCTAATATACAATAGTCAAAAGTGGAATTAGATCTAGACCTTGAGCTTCCTGTCAAAAGTTTGTTCTTCAGCCGATGCTCATAGTACTCCCATCAGTACATTCCTCAAAATAAAAGAGATTTTTGCATGTTTCAGAAATCTGGGAGGAGGGCTACAAGTATCCTGCTTGAAGGGTCAATTTCATTTAATATCTAATGTTTTAACCTTAAAAAGTATATGATTTTACATTTGAGTTTGGATGTCTGTTGGTTTCAATAGAACATTGTAGCAGCTATTTTGAGGTTTTTGTTTATTTTTGATTTTTTGAGACAGGGTCTTGCTATGTAGGGCAGTCTTGCCTTGAACTCACTGTGCATTCTAGGCTAGCCTGGAACTTGTGGCAATCCTCGTGCCTTAGCCTGCCAAGTGATGGGATTACAGGCAGGCACCATGCCTGGCTCCATACATTACTTTTATTAATCCCACATCTTTAAGTCAAGTCAGTGTGCCAGGAAAAGATGCCCTGTGTAGCAGGGACCTCTTACCTACCCCTCCTCTACTTGAAGGTCTGCCCACAGGACTGAAGAGTTAGATTGTGAGTTCATGTGCTGTCAGAGGGACACTCCCATCTCCTTTCCACACACACCCACACACAGTGGTAACTTCAACAATAAAGGACATAGTCCTTCCTCTCACATAATAGTCTGCACATAATCACACAGCACAGAGGTCTTGGCCTCCTTATATGTTTATGTTCCACCATTGCTGCCACATACCTCTCACTTGTGTGACTGAGGCTGATTAATCCTAAAGTTACCTCCTGTGTCAGAAGTGGAGAGGAGGCCATGTGGAGGGCAAGTTCCTTTCCTGTAAAGACACGATTCACAGTTGAATCCATCTTTTCTGTATATTCCTCTGGCCAAGGCCAGCCACACATACGCACCCACCTGCAGAGCACTGGAACACGTGCTTATCTATTATCATGGAAATGGGAAAGGGAGGCTAAATACTGGGAGCCCACGTGCTGTCCTCCTACATAATACTGACATCTTTTAGGGAAAAACACAAAGAGCACAGAAACAGCTGGCAATAGTCAGCTGAAGGCCTTTCAGTGACTCCTTCTGGACATCAGATGATTCAGCTTCCAGATTGCAGCTGCTTGTGTTAGGCACAGCCCTGACATCATGCAGGCCCCCGAAAAGCAGCTGTGCTTTGGGGAATAGTGGTCAGAGGAACAGCCTTTCCTTGAGGGATGTGAGCCTCACACCTGCAAGTCTATGAACACCTGTAAGGAGCTCTTTTTCTTAAGGAACTGTCCAGTTATTTTATCATTATTGGTCTTGGCTGTTAAGGCTTCTATAAAACATTGGATCCTACTCCAGAGATGTGAGATGCTGAGCAAACTCCAGGGGTCACACAAAGTGTGGGGAGTCTTAGAAAACTGTACATTTGTGACCTCTGGATTGGGACAAATTGACGTTTTATGGGGTTTTGAAAGATAGACAGGGTTTGAGATGATTGGTGAAGAAATTGGCCTATCATGAGACAAGCGGAAAAATTACCAAATATTTTTATGTGAACATCACAATTTTGGGACTCTTACTTTCTATCTGCAATAGGTTAAGAGGTACATACAGTAAATTAAATTTTTCAGAATCCAAAAAATTCCCAAGAGAAGCCTAGCTTTATATTTTCTTTAGCAAATAATGAGACTGATAATTGTTACATTTACTGCTAGGTACTTTTCTAAGTATGCATCATTTAAAGAGGTTAAAAACTTACCTAAGACAGCAGCTGGTAGCTATTGAGCTAGGTTGCAAACCTCAGTCCTGGCTGTAAAATTTATATATGATCACTATATTATACTATGCTAAATGGTAAGCAGAGATAAATGACTTATATTTATTTTTATTCTTTTAGATTAATGTGGCTGCTTATGATTAAACTTAGAGTTCTGGAATGCAGATGTTCAATGAAGTAACACACATATAAGGTAATAACAGAAGTATTTTTCTTAGTTTTACTGTTGACATATATTGTTTTAGATGAAGGCCTTCGTATCGAAAACCCTATAAGTATAATCAGTTCATAGGTAAGAGAATTTGCAAAAATTGCCTTTAATTTTTGTATTAAAATGCTTCTGGTACAGTTTGGTGTCCTAAGGAGAAGCATGTCACATCTTTATGAATGGTCTGCCTACTGCACTTGTGGGCCCAGGAAGTCAGTAGTGCCCACTGTGGTTTAGAGGATGCACAGTGTGACAGCAGTTTATTTCTGCAAAACATTCCAGGAGCCTTTTCTTCAATAGAAGGGAAAAAGATTTTAGACCTAAATTAGGGCTTTGGGCAAAGGACTATATCATGTGAGAACACTTTATAAACCAAAAATGTTTTAGATGAGGTACTGAGGTATGTGACCAATGTCAAGCAGCACATGTATTTCTAGAGAATCTCAGGAACGTATGTTTAGAACTGAGAGTATCTTTACATTTACTCAGCTGAACAGAAATTTTTTAATTGAAATGTTTCAAAAAGCCTCTCTGTGCCCACATGCAAATAAGAGCATAATAGATCCCTTATATGAGGAAACCCCAAATCTTGAAAACAGTGGTTTTCCTTGATGTTCCTTGGCCACACTACTGTTTGGCTTAACTAACATTTCTGGTAATGGAGTTGCTTGAGTCTCAGTGTTCGTTCAGAATTTTATGTTTTTGCCAGACCTCTTCCTGTTAACATATTCACTGAATCAAAATTATTCACATGACATCATAAGCAGTGTTAAGTATAGCATTTGAAAACAGTCTAAGACTCCAGTACATAAACCTATTTGGATGTATTTGCTTGGAAATCTGGAATAGAGCCTGTTTTTTTAAAGTATATTTGTTTTTATAATGTAATCTGAAAAAGATGAGAAAATTCTTAACCCAATTAATAAGGTAATTGATCTGCATATCTCAGCATCTCATGCACTAAGGTATTTCAGTTATTGGAAATGGAGAAGATGGCAAGACTGCTATGCTTTAAAAGTGCGTATCGATGTCCTCATTTTTAGGAAGCTTACACTTAAGCATCAGTACTGTTTTTACATTAGGGTTACCTATGAACAAGATTAAGGAAATCTTCTCCTTTTCTCCCAAACCAACTTTTTTCCAAATATCATTATTTTTCATTCTAAGTGATAAAGTATGAAATATTTATTGAAAACATATACACAGCATGCTGAAATGGGCCTTTTTGTGATAGGAAAATAAACTACCTGTCCTCTCATTTAGCTGTTGGATGAAGGTAGAATCTACTACCCTTTAAATTCTGTAAAGTTATTTAGTGCCTAAGAGGCTGTAGAACTAAAACATTTAAAGCTAAAGAGTTAGGAGCTTCTGCCAGTGGATAAGCAAATAAATTTAAAAGACAACACCTCTGAGTTTATATTATACTCTGAGTATTATACACATTTAAAAGAATGTCTGATATTATAATGTAAATTGACAGGAAATTTTAGGTAACTTCATTCACAGTTTTTAAGTTCTCTGTATTGCTACCTAATTCCTAAGTTAAATCAGGAAGGAATTCAGTGCAATGTTTAGTTCTGTTGTTTCTGCTGTCTATGGAATATTGTCTATTGATTTAGAATATGAGGCTTTCCTTTATACAGAATGAGAATTTTGTAAAGCAAGAGCTGTACTCACTGTTACTCTAAAACACTTAACAAATACACATGGATTCCATCAGAAACTACTGTTTTAACATTCAGAGTGTTCAGAAAATGTTCCAGAGGACTAACTCGTGGCTATGTGTGTAGAGCTCTGTGTGGTATAAAACCATTACTTCTGACAAGTAGGTCAGGGGTGGGGAGTGCCCGAGTGAGCAACCCAGTCTCTGCGCTGACAGAGTTTACAGTGTGGGGGTAGGGGGAGCAGATGAGAGTATAAATAACCCATGCAGCAAGGAGTGAACAGAACAGGTAGGAAAGTGTTGCTCTTGGACCGCATACGAAAATAGCCACAGGCTTCCAAAGTAGGACACTCCCCGTATGGCCTAAGACCCTCCAAAAGTGATCTAAGAAGCATGGTCTTCCCCAGGGTAGGTGGGCCTCTTGGTCCTGATATGGTGCTCTGGGAAGAGGTGGAGTGCTGGTAAACATTATCTAAAGATTCGATGTTGAAATATGGGGACCGGAGGTGTAGCCCAGTGTTAGCATGTGGTTAGTGTGTGCATGGGCCTTGATTCCACCCCAGCCCAATGAATTAATGAATGTTGAGTTCCTAAGAGTACCAAGAGAATTCTAAAAAAGCAAACTTTACCTGTGTTAGGGGCAGATAAAGCTCTGGTTTTCCCCAAGACATCATTTGGTGCATAGCTTTACTTTATATCACTGGAAGAGAAAACAGATATTTCTAGAACAGGTTTTAACTTCAGCTGCATGATGGAATCACCCTTTTAAAAACATTAATGCCTGAGTCTCACCCCAGGGACTCTGATTTAGCTGAATCCAAGCATCCATAGTTTTAAAGCTTTCCAGGTGATTCCAACATGCAACCAAGGTTGAGTGCTCTGCCCTAGGTTTTATACCCCGTCCCCAGGTGTTCTCTAATAAATTTCAAGAACCTTGCTCAGCCCACATTATGTCAGCAGGTTTTGTAGTCAGCAATTTCTAACCAAAACCAGTGCATGTGTTTTCCCTTTGGAAACACATGGTACTTTCTGTGTCCCAGTCTGCGATGCTGGCTGCCGGTGGCATGGTAGGGAGCTTTCTCGTGAACAGTCTCATCCAGCCATGATTTCCTGTCCTGTTTGTCGTATCTCTGTGGGATGACCAACCCACAAGTTTTGTGCTAGATGCTTTTATTCAAGGCATTTAACAACATTTTCTTCCTAAATCTCAGGCAGTACTCAGCTGGCAGGTACCAACCTGAGGCATGTTGCTTAGTGCTTCAAACTGTCCTTGTACTTCCAGGCTCTTGACTCAGTTTTAGCCCTTCACGTTCCTTTGTGTATCTCGACTTACTTTATTTTTCTCTATAGGTTCTGTTTCCACTACTTTATTCTTTCCAACAAGGATCTATTATTGTGTGATGGATAGGAGGCAGGCAATCTCCTAAACAGTAAGACTGAAACAGTTTCCAAATCAGGCAGCAAAATTGTGCCTATGTGGGACTTACATTCATCCGAGAAGCAGAAAAGGAAACACAAAAGTAACTAAACTGTGTGCTGTGTTAAAAAATGTGTAGCTGGGGCTGCGGATTTAGCTCAGTGGCATAAGCGCCTACCTTGCAAGCAGGCAGTCGTGAGTTCGATCCCTGGTACCGATAAAAAGAAAAAGACAAAAAAAAAAAAAAAAATGTGTATCTATAGAGAACAGGATAAATCAGGAGGAAGGGGAGTGTGGACCATAAGTTTTAATAGTTAATTGGCTTTGTAGTATTATTCAAGGAGAGGTGATAACAGCCTTCAGCCATAATAGTGGTGGCAGAGATGGTTAAAAAAAAAAAAAAGTACTTGCGGTGGCCACCCCAGTGGGAGAACCACCCAGCATCACCCGAGATCTGCACCATGTTGGAACTTAGGGTGCTGGGAAACCAAGCAACCGGCCCACTCCCTGGTAAGCAGCCATGAGCCTACCAGCATGCAGGCTGAGAATCAAACAAACATCCCATCCACGCACCCCCACCCGGACCCCCATTAGCAAATGGGAGCCAGAGCTCTGAGCATCTCTTGGGAAGCTGACCATATGCAATATAGCAAATAAGGGGGATTTCTTTTTACCATCTCTTTGAAGGCAAATAATTATCATTGGTTTGCTTTGTTCTGATTAATTGTATTGCTCTATTCAATATTCTATTTTGATAAATTCTGCAGTGTTCTGTATTTGGTTTGATTTTGCTATACCTGATTGAAAGAATGACTATTATGAAGATAACGAGATATACTATGGCACCTGTTACTGTCATCCTGGTAATCTGTTGTGATGTTCTGTACCATTTTCACTGCACTGTCTCAACTGGCTATATTCTGTCTTATTCTGTTGTAGTTCCCTACCTTCAAAATAATAAAAGACAAAAACAAAGTACTTGAAATCTGGTAAGCTTCAGCAAAGCCCAAAGAAGTCAAGGGTTGGAGCCACCCAGATCCTAGGGAGAGGAGAATTCTAGACAAAAGTACTACAAGACCAGCATCCCCAAGCCAATACTGAATTTGGCATATTCTACAAACTACTAAAAGGACCTGTATGGTTAGAGCAAAGAGAAATAGCAGGAGGTGGCTAAAACAGGGAGGGCTAGAAGTGAGCCTGCATACAGTCTTGGAAGATTTTTGTAAGAATTTTGGCTCTTCCCTTAAGGAAGATGGAGAGTTATTGGAGAGTTTTGAACAGAGGAGAAACCCTCTGTATTTTAACAGTGTCATTCCATTGGGCTCAGTGTGGAAACAAGGAGATCAATGAGGAGGTTATCGCGGTAATCTAGTTGACAGATGGCTTGGGCCAAGGTAGTAGCAGAGATGGATCAGAGATGGTTGGAGGCTGGGCATGTAGCTCAGGGGAGAGCAGTTGCCTTGCATGCACCAGGCCCTTGGTCCAATTCCCAGCACTGCAGGAACGAAAAAGAAATGAAGAAAGAAATGGTTAGAATTTGGATATGTTTTTAAAGGTAGGATTAGGTGCCACTTTACTAATGTTCTTTCACAATCCTTTTTAGGAAAAACAAGCCCCAAACTTCAGTAACTGTCCTGAATAATGCTAGTTACAGCATTAGGTTAACTTTCTGGCTCTTGAATACTGTATTACGTATTTAGCATTTTTTAGTTAGTACCTATTTGCAGTACATAATGATTACTTTTTTTATGGGGAGTTGGCACATGCAGTTCACACTTCTTAATTCTTTTATTGCCTCCTACACCTCTCATCCCTCTGCTCTTTCCAACTTTTGATCTCCTTCCCACCTCTATTTCCATTTTTCCTTCTTTTTTGTCCTTTCTCTCCCTTCCCCCTGCCTCCATC